GTGTTGGGTCTTCGTTTCTGTGCGAGGGCTTTCTCTAGTCGTGGCAAGTGGGGGTCACTCTTCATCGCGGTGCGCAGGCCTCTCACTATTGCGGCCTCTGTTGTTGCGGAGCACAGGCTCCAGACGCGCAGGCTCAGTAATTGTGGCTCACGGGCCCAGTTGCTCCATGGCATGTGGGATCTTCCCAGACCAGGGCTCGAACCTGTGTCCCCTGCATTGGCAGGCAGATTCTCAACCACTGCGCCACCAGGGAAGCCCCTTTGTTTGAATCTTTGTGTCCACTTATTTCCATAGGGTAAATTTCTAGAAATGGAACTTTTGGATCACATGGGTATAACATGTTTTTACTTTTGCTGTATGTGGCAAGAACACTCTCCTGAAATGTTAATACTCTCTTCTTGACAGTGCTTTATTAATTTCTGATCAGCTTTTTTTGATAAGCATGCATCTATTGTTATCAGAAGTTGTTCATAGGAAGTCAAAACTTGAAATGCAAGGAATTTTAAAAATGCATTTATTTTGATAAAAGAAACTTTGCACTATTAATCTCACTATTATATTCAGATTTATTATGTTAAATGTAGGCAATTCAGTTTCAATTTTAATGTTATGAACATTTTAGTTTGTCCGTTGGTATTTTGCATTGGGATTTCGAGGGAAATTAATCATTAGAGATTATGTACATTTTCACTGTTTTCTTAATTATCAAATGACCCTATCTGACTATATATATGTATAATCTCATATTTATGCAACAATCATACATATGAATTGCTGATACCTTTGTAATTTTGTTCCTGCCTTATGAAAGCTAGCTATTTTGAAATGTATTTTTGAAAATTTATGTGCAGAGCTAATTTGTCAGGCTTTTCAGTTTTAAAGAGATTTTGATGGATTGAAGGTTATATAAGTTTTATAAGTCTGTATTATGAAAGCAGATATAAGTGTTTGTGTTGTAACTGCATGAGCATATTTGTTTTCTTTTCATAGGTATGCATTCCTCAGCAGCAACTGAGCTGTTTGTTACTGGACCTTTGCCAACCACTGGAGCACTTCCACCCTCTGCCCTCTCTGCTTATCAGCATCCCACCACCTTCAGCAATAGAAACTTTGCCACCACCTCACCTTTGGTGCTTCAGGAGTCAACTTTTAACACTACATCCAATGGAATTTTAAATCCTCATGATCCTTTGCTGCAAATCAAGACTTCCCAGGGAACTGTTCCAACCGCTTTGGCATTTGAGCGCCTGGGCAGTTCTGTGATAAGTAACAGCATACCACCTCAGTCTTCAACATACCGCTCAGCTCAAGAGTCTGCACCCCATCTTTTACAACCTCAGTTTAGTTTGTTGCCTTCAGCACTTGGAGGAGCCCAGCAAACTCCTCAAGCCTACGGTTCAACTCTCTTTACTAGTTCTACTGCTTCCATTGAAAGAGCTCTTCTTCGAGAATGTAGTGTTATTAAACACCATCAGCGGCCTTCAGGTACTCAGTCTCTTCAGGCACAACTGACTGATTCACAGCATTCCTTACACAGTTATCTATCAAATGCAAGTGTGGTTAATTTTCAGGAAACCAGCAGGCAGTCATCTTTATCCTGTAACCCAATTGGAGATTCTACTCAGGTGAGCAATGGAGGATTGCAGCAGAAGACATCCCAGGTCTCAGTGGAACTTGCTCAGTCCTATTCATCTGCAGTTCCATCATCAGGGTATCCTCCTTCTACTACAAAAGTAAAAAGCTGTTCTACAAAACAACCACTAGCATCAGCCAAGTCCCCCAAACCTCAAAGTATAATTCCTCCTGTGCAAACACTAAGCTATTCCAAACCTTTACATAACCAGAGTTCTGTAATATCAGGCCAAGCACAAATTTATTCTACAGCACAGCTACCAAGCCTTTTATCAGTTAGTCAGTCTCAAAATTATGGTTTAGTACAGCCACATAATGTGCCATCTATTGTTCATTCACATGTTTATAGGTCCAGCAAAGTTGAGAAGTTGCCATCTTTATATAAAACATTGACTTTTTCTGGGTCATCTCAGACTATAACTTCTGAAAATCCAACACTTAATTATTCTTCTGATCAGCAAGAGGTATTATCTTCAGTTACAAATGAGAATTACCCTGCTCAAACAAGAGATCTATCTTCAGTTAGCCAGTCTCAGAGTTACTCATCTGGTCACTCTCAGGGTTTATCACCAGTTAGTCAGACACAGGTTAGTTATTCATCTCAGTCACAAGTTCTGTCAGTTGTTAGTCCTTCAGAAAGCTATGCTTCAGGGCAGTCCCTAACATTAACAGCCCCTTCTCTTTCTTATTCTTCTGCCTCTCGGGCTCAGAATATGCCAGATTCTAGCCCAACTCAGAATTATATTTCTATGCATTCTTCCCAAAATGCTCAGACTCAAGGGTCATCATCTCCCCAGTCCCAAAAGTTTTTGCCTGTTGTCCAGTCATCATCTTTTGCGTCCTCTACTCATTGTCAGACATTACAGAATAACATACCTTCCCCTGATCCAAAGTCTTACGCTGAAAGAAAACTTGACTCAAATGTGTATACATCTTCAAAGCAAGAGGATGATTTTCCAATGCAGGAGTTACAGGTATTACAGCCGCAAGTATCTCTTGAGTCATCAACCCAAAGGCTATCTGATGGGGAAATTAATGTTCCAGAGTCAGCTTATAAGGTGTCAAAGACAGATGACAGATATTCCCAGAGCATAATCAGAAGTAATTCCCATCTTGAAGATCAAGTTGTTGGGATTGTTCTACAAGAGTCAAAAAAAGAAGAAAACATAATTGGTTCAGTGGCACAGCTTAACCAACAAGTTGGCCAAGTCAATAATGCAGCAACCCTTGATATAAAGAAGACAACTAATTTAATGCAAACTCCACAAATAAGGTTGAATACTAAAGACCTAAACCAGCAGCATTCTCTTATACAGAAGGTACATGAAGCCAAGGTCCAGGAGCAGCATGATCAAATAATTAATGTCTCATCTCAGATTCAAATTCCAAATAATGCTTTAGGGCATGGCCATCAGGCATCTCTTCCTAATACACAGGTCCTTTTAGATTCTGCCTGTGATTTACAAATTCTTCAGCAGTCAATACTACAGGCCGGTTTAGGACAGGTAAAGGCATCTCTACAAGTACAGCGTGTTCAAAGTCCTCAACAAATAGTACATCCTTTCCTTCAAATGGATGGTCATATTATTCAGAGCAATGGCGATCATTCTCAGCAGCAACTCCATCCTCAAAATTCTGAAATTATGAAAATGGACCTCTCTGAGTCTTCAAAACCATTACAACAACATCTAACGACAAAGGGCCATTTCAGTGAAACAAATCAACATGATTCAAAGAATCATTTTGTTTCTCTTGGATCAATATGTTTCCCAGAGGCAATGCTCCTCAGTGATGAAAGAAATATTTTATCAAATGTAGATGATATCTTAGCAGCTACAGCAGCAGCTTGTGGGGTCACACCTTCTGATTTTTCCAAGTCAACTTCAAATGAAACCATTCCTG